GCAGTAGCGTGATCTTGGCTCACTGCAACCTCTGCCTCCCAGGGTCAGGTGATTCTCCTGCCTCAGGCTCTTGAATAGCTGGGACTACAGGCACATGCCACCACGCCCAGCTAATTTTTGTGTTTTTAGGAGAGATGGGGTTTCACCATGAGGGCCAGGATGGTCTCAATCTCTTGACCTCATGATCTGTCCACCTCAGCCTCCCAAAGTGCTGGATTACAGGCGTGAGCCACTGTGCCTGGCCAGTGTTTTTAACTTTTTAAAAATGAGGGCCATGGTGAGTCACACTTGTACTTCCAGTAATCGCTTGAGCTCAGGAGTTCAAGACCAGCTTGGGCGGCATAGCGAAACCATGTCCCTATCAAAAATACAAAAATTAGCCAGGCATAGTGGCGCACACCTGTAGTCCCAGCTACTAGAGACGCTGAGGCAGGGGGATTGCTGGAGCCTGGGAAGTTGAGGTGAGGTGCTGTGAGCCACGACTGCACCACTGCACTCCAGGCTGGGTGACAGAGCAAGACTCTGTTATTTATTCATTCCTTCATAAAAATAAATAATTAAAAATGAGATGGGGTCTCATTATGTTGCCCAGACTTGTCTCGAACTTCTGGGCTCAAACATTCCTCTCTCCTCAGCCTCCCAAAGTACTGGAATTATAGTTGTGAGCCACCATGCCCTGCCCACAGATTATTTTTTATTAACAATTTTCTAACATTTTTAGTCATAAAAATCCCTTATTTAACTTTAGTGATTTACTGAAACATACCAACTATGCACTAAGTACTAGGATACTAAATGAACACATGGTTTCTTTCTCAGAAACTATCAGTCTAGTTGAGGGTACAAACATGTAAATTGAAATTGTGCAATAATCTGATAGATACCCTCATACAGGTAATACTAAAGCCCCATTAAAAACTGGCAGAGGTGATGACCAATTCCATCTTAATGACTAATGAAAGGTTTAATTAGGAAGCAATATTTAAACTGAACCTTAAGAACCAACTGAAGCTTGCATGGCAGATAAACAAAAGGTGGAGGGAGGTGGAGGAGGCATTCCAGGCAGAGATAGAACAACATGTGCAAAGAACAAAATCACAAAAGGGAATGGAGTATTTATGGAAAGGTGACATGTTTCATTTGGCTGAAGTACAACTTACCAGTTTCAAGGTAGGGGATGACTCCGGTATATGCTTCATGATAAACTCCTGGCCAACACCCTCTTCTCCATGTTTTGTCTCAAAGTAATTTTTAAATTTTCTCATCTTTTAAGACCATTTAAGCCCCAAAAAACTCACAAAAGAATATGTTCACACAGGAATTATCAAGGCTAATTATTATTCCTTTCTTAACTGTATTCTGCTACATATCTTCATAAAAGATAACTAGTCAAATATAAATAAAATCTTCCCATAATTCTCCAATAGTACAAATCTACTAGATCTAAAATAAGCAAAAATCAACAGAAGCAACTTAAAGGATCGATCTTAATAAAGAACAAAAGAAAATCTTTCTCTTTTACCTGAAAAATTAAAACAAAAGTCATTAAATATGTATGTCAAGTTTAAGCTGCTATTTTTTTTTTTTAACTTTTATTTGTCTGGGCGCGGTGGCTCACGCATGTAATCCCAGCACTTTGGGAGGCCGAATCATTTGAGGTCAGGGGTTTAAGACCAGCCTGGCTAACATGGTAAAACCCTGTCTCTACTAAAAATTCAAAAAAATTAGCCTGGCATGGTGGTGGGTACCTATAATCCCCGCTACTGGGAGGCTGAGGCAGGAGAATGGCTTGAACCAAAGAGGTGGAGGTTGCAGTGAGCTGAGATTGCACCACTGCATTCCAGCCTGAGTGGCTGAGCAAGACTCTGTCTTACCAAAAAAAAAAAACTTTATTTTAGGTTTGGGGGTATGTGTGAAGGCTTGTTACATAGGTACCACATGTCATGGGTTTGTTGTATGTATTATTTCATCACCCAGGTATTAACCCCAATACCCGACAGTTACCTTTTCTGTTCCTCTCCCTCTTCCCATCTTCCCCGCTCAAGTAGACCCCAATGTCTGTTGTTTCCTTCTTCGTGTTCATAAGTTCTTATCATCTAGCTCCCACTTATAAATGAGAACATGTGGTATGTGGTTTTCTTTTCCTGCGTTAGTTGCTAGGGATAATGACCTCCAGCTCCATCCCTGTTCCCGCAAAAGACATGATTTCGTTCTTTTTTATGGCTGCATATTATCACATGGTATGTATGTACTACCTTTTCTTTATCCAGTCTGTCATTGATGGGCACTTAGGCTGATTCCATGTCTTTTCTATTGTAAATAGTGCTGCAATGAACATTCATGACCATATGTTTTTATGGCAGAATGATTTATACTCCTCTGGATATATACCCAGTAATGGGATTGCAGGGTCGAATGGCAGTTCTGCTTTTATAAGCTATTTTCTAAGTAGAAGTGTTATAAGCAACTTAAATAACAGCCTTTAGCCACCTGTTTAGACAACGAATAATATACGCTAGAAAATATAGGTTGTTAATACCTCTTTTAAGAAAAGTTTGATATAAATTGACTGTTTGGAACTCCTTGTTACAGGCCAGTATTATGAAGGAGGACAGAGTCTCGAGCCAAAATAAGGCCCAGTCTACTACATAATTCAGAATATAATAGAGCCAAGTTGAACTACTGAACACAATAGAATCAAAACACCATAAACCACATGGTTTCTTTCTAAAAGTAAATGCCAAGTTATAACTAGTCATGACTGACACATATCTTCCCCTTTGCCATTCTTTCAGTACTTTCCTCTGCTCCCTTCAGCACTTTCCTCTCTCAGGAATGGGCTGACAAGTTGAGATAGGCTTTTATAGAATGTATAAAGACTTAGGATAAAATAAAATCCGACAGCTGGGGTAAGGTAGTAATACACAGATTAACAATAATGTATCAACAAATGTTAACAGTCACTATGTCTGGCAGTTAATTATGACTTTTTTACACCCATTTTTAAATTTCCTTATTTCAAAATTGATATAGAAGTATCCTGATTGAGAATAAAATGTTCCCAAATATTAAAAACCATTATCTCTGAAGTTAATACACATAATTTTTCTATAATGACATGTAAGTTCTTATTTTGTTTTATTAATCTTCAAAGTATAGACCCCACAGGCAGCAATAGCTTATGGGATCTCTGAAAGAAGGCAAATGGAAACTACTGCTCTAACTAGAGGTCTGTAAATAGGCAATGTCTGTGGCAGATAGTGAGATAATGATAGTTACTGTGCATTCCAAGCTTGACAGTCTTCAGTATGTAATATCAAATCTTATTAAATAAAATGTTACTTAAGATAACATTTTATAAAGCTATAAAATCATAAAAGGGAATGACACTTTAAATCTATTTTTGGTAAAACACTTCTCATTTAACACTATCTTATTTTGGATTAAAATTAAGATCCAGGGAATAATCTGTTGTATGCATTTCCTTTTTATGATATTGGCTCTGAAGCTATTAATACACTGACTGATCAAATCAATTACATCTACAGAGTAACAGATTTAAAGAAATTATACGTGAGAACTTTTACCCTAAAGTATAACCCAAAACAAGCTGTACCTTAAACCAAATACAGCAGGTCCTCAAATAACATCATTTCCTTCTATGTCATTTTGTTGTAACACTTAAGCATGTGTGGAGCCCACACATTCTCTCCTCATCTGTGGAACTCTGGTTTCCTCCTATATCCCAAAACAGTGCACATTAGGTTCACTGCTGTGTTTAAGTTGTCCTGGGTTAAATGTGAGTGTGTACACGAGTATACCCTGTGATGGGATGGCCTCCTATACAAGGTAGGTTCCTCCCGCCTTGAGCTGCTGGGATTGGCTTCAGCCAATTCCCACACTAGAATAAGAGGGTTGAAAAATGAATGAATGAATACAAATTAGTATCAAGTAAAAATTGGTAAAGTCTAGGGTAATCATACAAATGCATGACAATAAATGCTATGGCACAAAAGCACTCAGAGATTTCACTGTATTTGAATTGGTTTTGATCTGCATGGAGTTGGAAATGCTCCTGACAATTTTCATTTCTCAAACATTGATTCCATGATTTTAATCAACCACCACAACCACTGTCATTCACTGATTTACCAAATACTGGGCAATCATCTTTGGTGGCTTTTTTTTTTTTTCTTTTGAGACAGAGTTTTTCTCTGTCACCCAGGCTGGAGTACAGTGGCACAATCTGGGCTCACTGCAACCTCTGCCTCCCGGCCTCCAGCAATCCTCCAGCAAGCTACCAGCCTGGCTAATTTTTGTATTTTCAGTAGAGACAGGGATTCACCATGTTGGCAAGGCTGGTCTCAAACTCCTGACGTCAGGGATCTGCCCACCTTGGCATCCCAAAATGCTGGGATTACAGGTGTGAGCCACTGCACCCGGCCTATCTGGTTTTTATTAATCTTTCTTAAATGTATATATAGTTCATATTTCTTTCAACATTTAATATTAGAAGTGTTTGGGGTCTTTATTGAGAAGTTTGGTCATGTTTTTGTGACCAGAAATATGCCATAGGAACTTAACTCTTGTTTACATCAATTAGCCTAGAGTAAAAGTGGTTTCATTACAGTTGTTTTGCATAAAGTTATGGTTTTCAGAAACCTATGGATGACACTGAGGATTACCACAATACTTCTAGTAAATTTGGCAGAAAAGGCAAAAACTGAAGTTACTACTCCTAACACAAATGAGACTGTCATGGTGCACCTCATCAAAAAAGGAGAGAGAGACAGATAAAAAGGAACACAGGCGAGCACGTGTGCACACACATATGCACGCATGCGCACACACACACGTACGTACGTGCACACGCGCCAGAAACATTTGATGTTATAAATACAATAGTGCTGGGAAAGATGAATTAATGCAGAACTGTATTTTTTGTTCTGAGAACAGGTTACATATATGATTCTAATCCATTTATTGTTTTTACATTCAAGGCTACCTAAAAGAAGACAGTTATCTCATATTTGGCTGCCAGCTTTTTCTTTCTCTTGACCACTTAAAACTTCAGACTTCCTCTCCTGTTGGTATCATGGAGAAAGTCCAATACCTCACTCGCTCAGCTATAAGAAGAGCCTCAACCATTGAAATGCCTCAACAAGCACGTCAAAATCTACAGAACCTATTCATCAATTTCTGTCTCATCTTAATATGTCTCTTGCTGATCTGTATCATCGTGATGCTTCTCTGAAGTTCTGCTACAACTCTAGAGCTGCAACATACCACATCAGTTAAAATCTGTCATCCCATACAGACAGAAAACAATACTGTGTAACATACCACTTCCTGAGTAGAAGAGTTTCTTTGTGAAAAGGTCAAGATTAAGACTAAAAGTCATTGTTAGCACATGTATTCATCTGCTGGATCTTGTAAACATGAAAAGAGCTTTATTTTCAAAAAATAACCTTAAATTTAGTGTATAAAATGTAACTGTTGATTTCCTCAACGTGGCTCACAAATTTTTATTCCAAATCTTTTCTGAAGATGAATTAAGAGTTTAGTTCTGAAACTGCACTCCCAACAAGTTCACTTCATATGTAAAGCATTATTTTTACTCTTTTGAGGTAAATATAATTTATATTACACTGTAAAAGCTTATTTAGTATTAAGTATTTTTCAGGTCTTCACCAAGTATCAAAGTAATAATACAAATGAAGTGTCATTATTCAAAATAGTCCACTGATTCCTCATATCTGTTATCTTATTATAAAGAACTCTTTGTAGTAACTACCAGTATCAATATTCTAAAACAGAAATTGTACTTTTTCTATGCCACATTAACATTTTTTAAAGTTGATGAGAATCAAGTATGGAAAAGTAAGGCCATACACTAACATAATAAAATTTCTCTTAAGTGATTTTTTTCAAAGAATTACAGAATTCTAGTCCATGTAGGTAAACCATAAATCTGTTCTAAGATATTATGAACAACAGATGAGAATTGGTGGTTAATATCTGACAGTGTGATTCATCATAATCACTAATGTACTAACAGAATAGAATCTAATCTTCCTTTAAGGCACTGTAGTGAATTATCTGAGTTGGAGTTACCTAACTTGCCATATCTATGGAATCATGAAACTGTAAGACTTCAGAATGATTTTACAGTTTGTCTTCTATTCAAACCTAATATCCAATGCAGACAAAGAAAATAATAAAAGATTTCCAGTGACAGAAAAAGGTTATCTCAAGTATTTAAAAAAATAAAAATATGAATTTTCTCTCCAAATATTAACTAATTTTTAGATTACATTTTGAAATGAACTTGTTGGCCCATCTATTATATCTACAGCTGACCCCTGAACATGGGGGTTGGGGAGTTGACAATCCGTGGGTCCCCAAAAATCTTAACTACTAATAGTCTACTATTGACCATAAACCTTACTAATAACACAAACAGTAAATTAACACATATTTTGCATGTATATGTACTATATACTCTATTCCTACAATAAAGTAAGCTAGAGAAAAAAATCTTATTTAGAAAATCATAAGAAAGAGAAAATATATTTACTATTCATTAAATGGAAGTGGGTCAACATAAAAGTCTTCATTCTCATTGTCTTCACATTGAATAGGCAGAGGAACAAGAGAAGGAGAAAGATGGGAAGGAAGAGAAGGGATTGGTCTTTCAGTCTTGTCTTTGGGGTGTGGGGAGTGGGGGAAAAGAAAATTCATGTATAAGTGGACCCTCTCAATTCAAGTCCTTGTCGTTCTAGCATCAACTGTAATAGGATATAACTATTTTCCTTAATCTATCAACCAAATGGTAAACATCTATTTTGTAGGCCACTCTACTGAGCTAAATTATAGCTCCAACAATGCTATCTATAACTATTTTCTTGATGAATAAAGTTTCAATTTCTCCTCTGATTATTTCAGAACATCTTCCAATAACTCACAAAACAACTGAAGTAAAATTTAGTGCTGGCAAATATATTCACCAAACTTTGGCAATTTCAGTTGACTAAAGTTTGAAGTTATGTCTAAACTGTATAATCCAACGATTTTAATTCTAATTGAAGACATGTTACTAATATAACTATTATTAAAAGGCAGAGGATATATAATTAACCATATCCTCTAAAACATGGTTACTAAAAGAATATGAAGCATCGATATTGATCATGGTTTCTTATACAAGTGCTGTTAACTAAATAGTGAAGGAGACATTATTAAATTTTCTGAAACCATGAGAGGTACTAGTGATGGGAGTGTAAAGAGTTTGGTTCAGGGATACCTAAATAACAGATGGGCAGAGTTTTCTTAAGTGAAGCCTCTTCTACAAGTTGGAAATCCCTAATAACAAGCAGAAAGCTTATAAACAACAGGTAATACACTCACATTTACTGGTTTTAGTAAATTACCACTAAAAAAAGTATCCAAGTTCTGTAATAAGCTGCACTGGTCTTAAATACAAGTGGATAATTTGAACTGATTAGTCACAGTCTTTTCATTACATTGTTCATTACAATATTTTCCTCAGTAAACAGAAATAAGTATTTTTTTTGTTCTTCATTCTTTGATAAAAATTAAAATCTTATTCTGTGAGGATTACAGAATACTACACTAACTCAAATTATAAAGTAGAATATTCTTTATCATGAAGTGTAAATTCATAACAATTTATTTTTAAAATTTAAAATACTAAACGCTCATATATGTTCTACTATGGAATGAGTTCTGATCTTAATTTACAGGGTACTAAAAAAAGAACTTTAAAATGCTTAATGTTGCCTTTTATATTTTAATTGGATAAGAATGTGTATTTGTTTAATGCAAATCATCAGAATCACTATATAAAAATGTTCTTGAAAACTCAGTGAAGCTGCTCTAAAATATATTTATGATTGATACTAATGATAAACCATTTTAATTACAGTTTTGATTTTACAGGAGTTTTTTGGTGATTTTTCCCAAATAAAACAAAATCGAGATGCTCCAGTATAGACACAAGAGGGCAGACCCATATAAAATAATGCATTGCTACTAATAGAGATTATTTATCTTTTGATTATTTTTGAGTCTTCTGGAAAGTAGGACTATAATAAATTTTTGAAAAGATCTGCTCTTCTGCTAAGTAACAACACACTTTAAAATGTCCAGAAATGTTATGCTTATATAGAAAACCTGACAGATGAAAAAAGTCAAACACATTACTAACTTTATTCATTTAAAACTTGTATATAGAAGTCCTTTTTAACTACCAAATGAATGTGTCATATCCTAATATAGGGAGTGTCATAGTGTTCACATCTTTGAATACATAAATTATCTCAAACAGTTAAAAAATGAAAGAACAGGGTACAAACATAAGAAAGTATAAAAATAAGAAAACTTTATTTTCAGAGGACATAATAGAATACATAAAACACTCCCAAGTTAGAAAACTTTTTCATTATTATTTCATGTTAGACAAAAAACAAGTCATTTTACTTTAATTCATTTTATCAGTTTTTTTCTTTAATCAACAGAGAAGGTGGTTACTCTGTCATGCAGGCTGGAATGCAGACACATGTTCATTGTTCACTGAAGACTTGAACTCTTGGGGCACAAGAGATTCTCCAACCTTGGTTCCCAAGAATCTAGCACTACAGGGGTACATCACCACATATGGCTAATTCTTTTTATTTTTTGTACAGATGTGGTCTCATCAGCCCAGGCTGGTCTCAAACTCATGTCCTCAAGCTATCCCTCCCCTCTCAGCCTCCCAAAGTGCTAGGATTACAGGGGTCAGCTACTGTGCTTGCTTCAAATTTTTGATTCATATACAGGAAAATCTCCAGTAAAATATGTTAAAATCAATAGGTGCCAATACCATAACTGTTCAAATCCCCTTATGACTAAATAGGCACAAAATTTCATCTTTTTAATGACTGCCCCCTGACGTTCAGAAACATCTTAGGGAAAAAAGCATAAACAACTTCATCAATAAAGAGACTATTGTTTCACTACTGCTGGGAGATCCATCGTGGGCTTAAACAAATCCAATGGATACTGCAGTTACGTGTAGAAGTGTTTATCCTCCCCTCTTTCCACCCTACCTTCCCCAAGAAAAGAAACCCAAAGGGGCCATGGAAAGGGAAGGATTCTTCCCAAAGAGAACACCAGACTGCTTTTTCTCCTCTGTCCCAGCCCTTATAGAGTCAGGTAGCTTAGGGGTTGCAGGGGATGAGGAGCAGAAGTATGATGTACTACAGAGGAAAGAGTCAAAGACTAGCAGTGGGCATTACACATGGAGCCCTCTATCATTAAACCATCTGAGGGTAAAATGGCTTCTCTTCATTCACAAAGGAAAATGCTTTGGAGTACTATACTCCTGCACTCTTATAATTTAGCAGAAAACCATGGAAATCAAAGAACCACACACATATAGGAATGTGTGGCTGGCTCAATAATTATTCTGGACCAAGTCCTAAGAAAAGCAAACCTTTAATGTTACAAACTAACCTGGGGAGTGGGGAGCTGTGAGGATCAAATGAGATAAAACACTGTGAAAGCTACAGAATTCTATAATATATAAAACTATGGTTTTATTAGATCATGACTTTCAGCCAAATTCCTTTTCTTAGTTGTAAAAATATTGTTTTTTCATGGTGAGTGTTTAAAAGCTGTGCTTGAAAATCACAATTTACCAGATGAGCTGATCCTTATTAAGGTTATTCTCTTTACGTAAAAATTAGATGTAAAGAGTGTTTTTATGTCTAATTTTTGTTTTTACGTAAATCAGTGTTTCTAAGATTTTTATCTTTTTTCCTTTTCACAGATGGGGTCTCGCCATGTTGCCCAGGCTGGTCTCAAACTCCTGGACTCAGGCAGTCCTCCTGCCTTGGCCTCCCAAAGTGCTGGGATTACAGGCATGAGTTATAGTGTCTGGCTGGAAGTCAATGTTTCAAAGAGACTTTTAAGAAACAACCATGATGAAAGCTTTTAAAATAAAGAGACTATTACTGGAGGCTCCAAGAAGGTATTTAACAACTTTTTTCTGTAGTTTTCCAAGGAGGAAATTAGAAGGGAAGCAGTCATTTAATCATTACAACTTAAGTTTGTCTAGTTTTCTTTACCTGAATTCATCTTGCTACTCAAAAACTTTTAAAAACACTGTAAAGAGACCACCCCCAATAAAGTTAATCAAGTAGTAGGACGATCCAGGGATACGTAAATTTTGCTTGTTAGTAGCCTTCTCTCTCTACTATGCACCAGGAAGATTTAAAACCAAATTTTTCTCTGCAGTGTGTCCCCAACCTCCATACCTGCTTCTGCACTGCTTGAAGGTTAAGAAAAACACCTTGTTTAAAGCAGAGGTTTGTCCAAGCAGAATAAAAGGCCTGCCCAATTTTCTCAGTTACCTATCACACCTACTCTAGTTTGGAATAGCACACTCAGACCCCCTAGACAGCTCCCATTCTATGCAAAGACGCCAGCTGGAGAAACAACTGCCTGATCTCAGTTTTCCTGTAATAACAAACATTTGAAAACTAAAACGTGATAGAATTTGAAAAATTAGGTTTCCTATTTTTAATCACTTGAATGGATAAATCACAAATTTGTAATTCGATCATAGAGATTATTCTGTTTTGATTATGTGGTTTAAGTACATAATCAAAATTATAAGAACTGGGTCTAAACTAAGAATAAAGAAGGCACATGCACATGTTAAGGGTTCTCCTATGAATGCAGCATGTTAGGTTCTATGTTTTGGGATCATACTCAGATTTGTGAGGTTCCTAGATAAGTGATTTCCTTATCCTTTCATAGCCTATGTTCATTTACTCCATTTGTTTTTATTAGTAGTAGTAATGAATAGCAATTTTAGATTTTTACTCTAGGGAAAATTTATAATTTTTAATAGAATTGTTTGAGAAAATTCTGATAAAAAACAGATGACAGTATTTCCATCAGAAAATTAGTTTCCTAGTTAAAAACAAGCCACAGAAAATTATCTTGAAATAGAAACACTCCCACATTAAGAAATTTACACATTTACATGCTATTCCCTAGACCAACTGGGGGCTGTATACTATTTTTCTTTATATAGGATATCATCATACAGTTCTTTCTATAAAACTGATTAATAGGTCTTGACATGTAATTTTTTAAAAAAATTAGTATATCTGATTTATAAACCTAAATACATTATCAATCACCAAAACTTCACAAATGACTGTAGCTCTACCTTCTCACTATACAGATGAAGAAACTGAGGCCCAGAGAAATTAAGTGACAAAAATCATCCAGGTTCTAAATGGAACCAGAAACAAAACATAAGACCTTATATGGTCAAGTTGATGCACTCTTTCTATTAAACCTATTCTAGCTTTTTTGTTTCTGTTTCCAAGTTTCTTTAGATTATGTTTTGCTTTATTTTCATGCCCATTTAACAAAGGAAAAGGAAAGAACAAGTTAGGCACACGGTTTCGAGATTTTCATGTTAATTAGTCTCAAATGTTGGGTAAGTTTTGTTTATGAACACATTTTTCAGGTAACATTTCTGCTTATTACTGTGCAGGGAAAAGCAAAACTATCTGTGGACACTTGTCATATGCTTACTGCAAGTATGCTATTGTACTCATAACATCCACTGGAGGGAAGCAAACACTAGATTTTGAGGCTTACCTGCATTGGTGTTTCACTTCCTTGCTGAAACTCTTCAATTTGCTGCTGTTGCCAAGGAGCTAAACTGTAAGAATCTTCTGTAGTTCTACCTTCCAAAGGATTTGTCCGCAGCTGCTCTGTAAGCCACATCTGAGTCCTTACAGAAGGCTGAATGGGAACTCCACCTACTGATTGTTGACCAAGCATTAAATATTTTGGACCTTCAAAGGCCTCTGAGCTTGTCATAATGGGCTTGCTTTCAGGTAAGGCACTGTATGTCATGTCTACAGTCTGTCTCCTCAGAGTAGAGGAAGAGGCTCTGAAGTCCTCCTTGCTACAGCTCTCAAATTTATATTTGCAGTCTAAAGTTGATGATCGTTTTTTATTTATATCCTTGTCCTCTAACTTAAGCATCTCCATACTATCATGTAAACAGCTAGGCCCAACTGTCCTCAGTTGTGATATTAAAGCCTTAGCCCTCCCTGTCTTTTCCAAACCATTCCTTGATTCTTCTCTGCGAACAGTGCTACCCTGGACACAGTTATCCGGGGCAGTGAGTTTGGATAAAGATGACCATTTCCGAAGTGGACGGAAGTCCTTCATGTCTAGTGAAGAGTCCTGCTCCCCTCTACTGTGCTTCCCCAATGTTTGCATGAGGCTTGTACTCCATTTTGAACCATCTGGTGTCAATGATTCCCTAAGTTTGGAAATTGAAGCGCTGGAGTTAGACGGCATCACATGGGCAGTAGGAAGAGTAACCAGTGATTGACTAGGCTTAAAAGATAATGTGCCACTTGAAGTTGAATGATCTGGAAAGAGAAAAAATTGCCAAATTAGTTACAATTAACAGACAAAAGAGAATGGGGTAAAATGCAAAATGTCAAAAGAAACATCTGAACATGGT